TTGTGGACAGGAGCACAGGTGCTGTCTGCCTGCCGTCCCGGCCGCGGACCCGGGGCCCTCTGGGGCTCTGCCGCCCGCCTCTGCGCCCTTCCTGCCACCCAACAACCGTGCAGCCTATTCTGCTCCCCAGCACCCCACGTCCTGATTCCCTGGGGCGCAGGTTTCTGGAGGGGTCCATGGGGCCCCCCTGGACCCCATGGGTGCCCCGGCCCCACAAGGTCCAGTCGTGACCATGGGGCGGGGGGGGGGCGATGAAGCAGCTGGGCTTTCCTCATCCCATTAGTTGTCATGGAAACCTCCTAGCAACCACAGCAACAGGATGTGCAGAGCCGGCTGGCAGCTGCGGGGGGCGGGGGGGGGCGCCAGGACTGAGGAGGGCTGTGGAGGACCGGGGACCGAGGCCGGGCGGGACCGGGGCTCCTGGGGACCCGGGCAGCCCGTCATATTGACCACAGTGTGTGCGCGCGTGTGTGTGTACGTGCGTGTGGTTGCGTGTGTGTGCACACGTGTGTGCGCGCGTGTGTGTGCGCACGTGTGCGCGCGCACGTGTGTGCACGTGAGTGCACGTGTGTGTGCACGTGCGTGCACGTGTGTGTGAGCGTGCGTGCGTGTGTGTGCACGTGTGTGTGCACGTGAGTGTGCGCGCGTGCGTGCGTGTGCACATGCGTGTGCGCGCGTGTGTGCGCGCACGTGCATGTGCGCGCGTGCGTGTGTGCGCGCACGCGTGTGTACGCACGTGTGTGTTTGTGCACGTGTGTGTGCGTGTGTGTGCGTGTGCACATGCGTGTGCGTGCACACATGTGTGTATGCACGTGTGTGTGCGTGTGTGTGTGCGTGTGCACATGCGTGTGCGTGCACACATGTGTGTATGCACGTGTGTGTGCGTGTGCGCGCGCATGTTTGTGCACATGCGTGTGTGCGCGCGTGTGTGCGCGTGTGTGTGCGCGTGCGTGTGCGCGCGTGTGTGTGCACGTGTGTGCGTGCGCTGTGTGCACGTGCGTGCGCGCGTGCGTGTGTGTGCGTGCACACGCGTGTGCACGTGTGTGCGCACGTGTGTGTGCGCGTGCGTGTGTGCGCGTGCGTGTGTGCGCTCCCGCCAGCTCCGGGCCTTGAACTCAGGGTCTGGACACTGTCCTCAGGTGGTGGTGGTTTTTGGTTTTCTTGGGCTCAGGGCTGGCACTTGGCTCCTTGAGCCGCTGGCTTTTGGGTGGTTCAGGGGCCAGAAGAGTCTCAGGCTGACTTCAAACCTCCATCCTCGGATCTCAGCGGCCTCCTTCTGGAGCAGCTGGGCCTCCAGGTGTGAGCCGCCCCCTGGGCTGCCTGTGCTGTCCACCTCCAGCAGGGGCTGCAGGGTGGGGAGCAGCTGTCTGCCGGGGGGGGGCTCCGTGCGTAGGCTCCACAGACCAGCCGTTGGGGCTCTGTGGCCTGGGGCCATCGTGGGCGTGGGGGTGTGAAGGAAGGGCTGGGCAGGAGGGGCCGGCCCCCCAGCGGCTGCGGGGCTGGGGTCACTCCAAAGGCCAGGCCCAGCTCCCCGTCTGGGGCTTCCAGGAAGAGGGACGGGGCAGAGCCTGGAGGCAGCCAGTAGGGGTACAGATGTTTCCAGAATATATAACTGTGGGGGTCTGGGTTCTTCTGGGAGACGAGCCAGGTCAGAAGGACGGCGTCCCCCCGCCTTGGAGGGAGACCCCCTCCGCCCCCCGGCTGACCTGTCAGGTGTCCTGGGCCGCGGCCTGAAGAGAGGGGTCACCTCCTGCCAGGCAGGGGTGGAGGGACAGGGCAGCACTGGGCTGGGCCGGACACCGGCGCCCCGGCCCTGGCCAGGTCCCAGCGTGGCTCCCGTTATTCCCGGTGATCAGCAGCCTCGCGTGGATCACCCGCTGAGCTCTCTGGAGCCTGTGGGGCGCAGGCCACACCCGGCCCTGCCGTCTCCGCCAACACTGCGCCACTTGCTTTCATGACTGGGATTCATGGACGCTGGCCACTTCCCAGCTGAGCACCAGCCTCCCCCTCTCCACTGGCCCCGGGCTCCCCGCTGAACCCCTCTGACCCCCGGGCTCCCCGCTGAACCCCTCTGCCCCCCGGGCTCCCCGCTGAGCCCCTCTGTCCCCCAGCTCCCCACTGGGCCCCTCTGCCCCCCC